GGTTTTGCTTCCCTGGTATTAGATGCAAGTGCTCAAAATACTATACAAGAACAGGAGCTATAGATATTGCACTGATTTGGATTGCTGACCATCATTTCTTCAGACCAAGGAACACATTTTACAGTCCTTAATATCTAACAATGGGCAGAGAGAGAAGTTTGCTAGAGAATTGGAGTGGGCAATTGAAATATTGGTTACTGAAAACGGGGGGAGATAAAGGCACTAAGAGTTGGCCTACAAGCCTTCACCAGTGTGTGCTCACCTCACCCTGAACATGAGGTATCCAAGAGGAGTGTCTCCCACTAAAGGGCTTTTTGTTTTCTGGCGGATCTGGGTTAAAGCAAGAGGGGGAAGGTGTTGGTATTCTCTCTTCCTCACATCATTTCAAATTTTTGTTGTTTTGTCCCCTTGCTAGATGCAGTCGTCAAAGGAGTGGGGCTGCAGCTACAAGGACTGGAAACAGGGAGGATTGCTAAGCAATGGTTGTCTTCAACCTTTATGTCACAATTCCTGGGGGCCTGGTGGGATGAGATGGACCTTCGTCCCATCTGCCAAATTGAGATTAACAGTGAATTCAGCCATATTGTTTGTGGTAAAAATAACTCACTAGTTGTGCACCTGGGTGACCTCACACTGCACCATCGGGCATGAACTGAAGGCAGGGCTATTGCTAGTATTACTGCCTACAGTTTAGCTCAGCAAGGGGACTGAGTAGTTACTAATGAATTGAATGAGAGTAATGTGCCAGTGTCTTTGGACTTGTATGATTGTTTTGCTATAAGGAGGATACATGTTTGAAGACCAGGAGGTGGGTTGCGATTTATAAAAAAAAAAAAAAAAAAAATAGATATTTGGTTTTCATCCATGATTCCTGGCTCACAGCTCCCAAAAGCCCTGGAAATTCCTACCTGTAGAGTTTGATAAAGGGGTCTTTTGTCACATTAATGAGGTATATTTTGGGCACCAACTGTAAGGGGCTGCTGGTTTCCAAGGGAACAAACCATGTGATTAGAGGGAGGGAACTTTCAGTCCCACCCACAGGTCTCCTTAGAAAGGAAGAGGGCTGGAGGCAGAACCAAGTGCCAATGGTCAGTGATGTAATCAATAATGCCAATGTGATGAAGCCTCCATTAAAAACCAAAAAGCTGGGATTTGAGGAGCCGGTAGAGTGGCATGTCTGTAGAGGGCATTCCTCATACCTTGCTCCATGTTTCTCTTCCCTTTTTCTGGCTGTTCCTGAGTTATTTCCTTCTGTAATCTAGTAAGTAAAATGTTTCTCTGAGTTCTGTGAGCCACTCTAGCCAATTAATTGAACCCAAGAAGGAGTTCATGGTAACCTCTGATTTATAGTCAGTTAGTCAGAAGTATAGATAACAACCTTAGCCTTATGACTGGTATCTGAAACCCAAAAAGGAGATCTTTGGAATTCCCAATCCGTACAGTTAGTTAGAAACACAGCTAATAATCTAGGCTTGCAAATGCCATCTGAGGTCTGTGGGGGCTGGGGATGGGAAGGGCAGTCTGGAATCTGATACTGTCTATGGGAAGATAATATCAGAATTGCTTGCTGTTGGGGGAACCTGTACCCCCCTCCTGACCTCCCACACATTGGAATTGTGGACCCAATTCTGGGCTGAATACCAATTTACACATTCATAATAGCTACTGTATTACATTTCAGAGCAAAGAGCCATTCACTTGTCTGCTGATGATGTTTCCAAGTAATTCCACAAGTGGCCTGGTGGAAGTCATTATTATAAATATTCGATGAAGTCACTTAATGAAGATTATTTTGAAGTAGCAGTCTAAATTTTAATGCAATTGCTTCTGCAGGGCTAGAAAAGTTATTTATTTACCACTGCCAAGGCAATTTTTCAGAAACAAAATTCTTGATGAATTTACTTTTTTAGTCAAGTCATTGTTTGGCAACGTAAAAGAAAAAAAAATTGACTTTTCTGTTTTCCAGGAAGAGAAATTTTCAAGGTGGGACATAGTACCTTGAATTTAAAATTTCTTAGCATGATATAATTAACATGATCTATGTAGGTCGTCTAATTACAGGTTCACTACTGGCACAAGGATAAACAAATTATTAAGAGTTTCGAACAGCTAAGAGTTTGGAAGCAGAGGCATATACATATATATAAGAATTTAATGCATGAACATTGATAAACTTTCTGAAAAATGGCATTGCATCTGATAGCAAAACAAATTCTTAGTGGAAGAAAAAAGGAAATGTAAAAAAAGAAAAGAAAGGAAAAGAAAAGAAACTACAAGTAAAAGAAATTATGACAATTTTTCTGACCTGGGGATAAAAATTTCTAAGTGTAAAACCAAAAGGAGAATCATAAAGGAAAATGTTTATAAATATACTTAAAAATATATACACTTCAATGTGATAAACAAATTGCAAAAACAACAAACTATGAAAAAGTGTGAAGTAGAAATGATATTAGAAAAAGGGTTAGTATCCTAATATTAAAAAATGTCTTGGAAATCAGTAAGAAAAAGACAAATACCCTCCTGTCAGACCATGGGCAAAAAAGCAAAAAAGCAAAACCATAAATTGAAATAAACATGAAATGTTCAACCTCACAAATAGTAAGATCAATACAAATTTTATAAAATGACATTCCATTTTAAAGCAATTAACAAAGACACTTTAAAAGATATTATTTATGATTTTCTGGACTGGAAGCTATCTCACATTCTGGAGTTGTGTAAGTCGGCATACCTTTTACGAAGTGCTTTTGGCAATGTATAAAATAAAGCTTAAAATATGCATAGCTCTGCATCTTTATCAAAAAATGATCAGAGAGGGGCGCCTGGGTGGCTCAGTTGGTTGAGCATCCAGCTTCGGCCCAGGTCATGATCTCACAGTTCATGGGTTCAAGCCCCACATCGGGCTCTGTGCTGACAGCTAGCTCAGAGCCTGGAGCCTGCTTCAGATTCTGTGTCTCCCTCTCTCTCTGACCCTCCCTTGCTCACACTATCTCTCTCTCTCGGAAATAAATAAAACATTAAAAAAAATTTTTTTTTAAACTAAAAATACAAAAAATGATCAGAGAGGTTTCCGAAGATTTTGTACACGTGTGGGCACAACATTGCTTAGAATGAAAAAAATGTCCAATGAGATTAAAAAATTTTTAAATTATGATAAATTTCTACTGGGTACCTACTATGTATAAAACCCAGTGTTAGGTACTTCGTTCATTTGGAAAATCATACTACCATTAAAAATCATGTTTCTAAGAGTATTTAATAATATGGGGAAATGTGCAGAATAAAATATTAAATGAGGAAAATGTGTGTACCTTTGAGCGTACCTCAAACTGTATATACAGCTAGATCTAAAATATAGAAAGGAAATACACCAAATGGTAACGGGAGGGGGGGTGTCTCTGGGTGATGAAAATGTAGGTGATTTTTACTTTTTTTTCTATTTTTCTTGCATTTCATCAAAGTAAAAATATAATGTGAAAGTAATTTACTCTCTTAAAGGAAAATATTGATGGCAATGTAAGATGGAATGTCAAGATAAAAATGTATATATTTACACCTACTTAAGTTAAATAAAAATAATAACAAACATGCTTACCTTTTCTATAAAATTTTTTTAAACTAATATGTGTCAAGAACCTCTGTTCTTGCCAGGTCCTGTTTTAGGTCTTAAGGGTAGTGCTATGGTGCAGCAAACAAGAGAGAAAAGAACTAGCATTTCTGGTGGGGTTGGGGAGCTGGGGCCATGAGAAAAAAGAGAGTTAATATTCTAGCTCTCTCTCTCTGGGAATAAATGCTAGCAACAAGTGTGTGTGTGTGTGTGTGTGTGTGTGTGTGTGCGTGTGTGTGTGCATATGTGTGCATGGGTTTTGCAGGGAGAAGATGCAGTTTCTGGGCAGTTCTGTGAGTATGCAGTAGGAAACCTAACCCTGAACTTTGACCTTCTCTGAAATGAGTACGTTTAACCAATGCAACTAACCAGGCAGGAGACAGACTGGAAACTTCTGTTGGCCCTTTGCTTATATGGTCTGAATCATCACTGATCTCCTGATTTTAGGGACTGGTATACTGATGAAACATACACACACTGGTTGCTAGCTCAGAACTGTGGACCATGTACCTGGCTGAAGGGATGGAACAAAGGGGCTTAGCCTGGAAGATCTTATTTTCAGAAACCTGAGCTTAATTTTTAATAACTAAATTTACAATTATCAGATGACTGAGGTCACTTTACATAGGACACAAGATTTATTTATTTATTGTTTCATAAGCATCAGTTACTTTCCTTACTGGAAGAAGGCTGAGAAAGGAAGAGGGGAGGAAGATAGTCCTTAATGTCATTTGTTTACCGTCAACCTTTTAAAAAATTACAAGCTCAGATAAAACTGAAAAAAAGTTTTTGAAAGTATAAAATGGCAAGTATTAGGAGTCCCTTGTATTAGGAGTGCACACCAAGTGCACATATGTGGAAACTTGGAACGTTTTAGAACATACCACCAGTCAGGTAGTACAGTAGACAAAGAGTTTCTGGAGATAATAAAATAAAAAGTGCTGGGTACTCATTTAAAGATGCTCTGCTGCATGTGAACCACCAAGAGAAACCACAGGCAGGCCAGTTCCGGAAGGTAGGGGCCCCACAACACAGAAGGGGGTGCTCTGAAACCAGCTGAGATGGACAGAACGGTTGCTGAGCTGTTTAAAAGACAGCCACGTAGGACGTCTGGGTGGCTCAGTTCATTAAGCATTTGACTTCAGCTCAAGTCATGATCTCATGGTTCGTGGGTTCCAGCCCCGCATTGGGCTCTGTGCTGACAGCTCAGAGCCTGGAATCTGCTTCCAATTCTGTGTCTCCCTCCATCTCCCTGCCCCTCCCCTACACCCACTCTGTCTGTCTCTCTCTCTCAAAAATAAATAAACATTAAAAAAATTTTTTAAAGACAGCCACATATGTGTGGCACAACTAATTTGGAAAATGATGGGGGAGATTTCCAGCCACTTACATTCACTGATGATTTCCAGGGAGGGTAGGAAGTACTCATCACAGACAATAGACACGGCCATGAACATGTACAGGATAATTAGGAAGTAGATTACGATGCCTCCATCTGTGCGCTCCTGTTTCGTGAAAAACCCTTCAGGAAACTCCAGGGACGGAGGCATCACACATTGGGTGCTATTTCCTGGTAAGAAAAAGAAGGAGGAAGTTTGAAATATCCAAGCCCACAAGGAGAGATTCCTCAAGCAAACTCTTTAAGTGTGGGGTAATGGTGGAATTTCAAGAACGCTTGTGAAAATGTATAAAACACTTTTGAATATGATGCAGTTGTAGAAATTAAAAAATATAACCTTTGGGACCCAAAAGAGGTGCTTTAATGAAATAAGCTGATGATAGTAAGAGAACTACAAGAAGAAAAATCATGAAATCACTCTTTCTTCTGGTTTATTTCTGAAAGGGAATTCTGAACCCCTCCTCTTCCTCAAAGGGTCACCATGTCTGTGATGAGAAAGATTTCTAATAACTGTACAATTTCATTTTCCCAGCTCAGAGCCCAAAGTTGTTCACAGGCCTGCAAAGAACCCTCCACTATTGCGGAGCATTTCTAAGACAAAAGATTTTTCTTTTCAGGATGAAATCTCTAACAATAAAAAAAAAAACAAACCCAAAACTGGACACCCGCCTGTTTCGTTCTGTCTGTGAATTATTTCTGAGCTATCTGTGAGAACTTATTTGAGGCATCAAAAGTGCTTGATATTCTTTCAAATGCTAAAAATCAGAGGAGGAAGCATAAGCCGAAGTGAGTCAAGTGAGAATTTTCCTCTCTTTGTCCCTTCATCCATATGTGACAGCAGCAGCAGGGGCAGCTGACCCCAGTGTCCACCTACCTGTGGCCCTCGGGAGGCGCTGCGGCAGGGGGGCACCCGGGGAAGGCAGGTGTGCGGTGGCCCAGAAGATGCCAAGGAGCAGAGCCCTTCTGGCCCACCGATGGCCCCCTTCGGTCTGCATTTCTGCCGTGCTCTCACTTCAGCCTGCCGGGTTGGGAAGGGGGAAAGGGAGGACTAAGCTGGATCATGTGAGGAGTCTCCTTCCTGTTCGCTGCCCTGCTCAGGACGCATCTCAGCAAGGCCTGTGCAAGAGGGAGGGTGAAAGGAACCAGACAAGCTTCTGTGATCAGAAGCCCCAAGCTTCAGAGAGGCTGGAAGAGGGGGCGGGGAGGGAGGAGAGCAGACAATTCTTGCGTACAGCTGCAGTCCCTGAGGGCAGGTCCAAGCGGTGTGCTCTCTAAGGCACAGTTTTATTTATTGGACTTCATAGTGGCCGTGTTTGTGACTTTCTCTAGATTTGGAATGCCTGGGGTTTGCAACTGCTTCTATCTCCCTCTCTCCAGCTCTCACTTCCAGAAGTCGCTGGGGCCAGTGTGTGTGAGTTCCTTGGCTAGATTGGCAGCTTTTTACATTTCTTTTTGGCCTGTCCTCCTCTTCCCCAATAAATTTCCCAATTTCTGCCAGAGGCAGAAAGGGAGCTTCGGAGGCTATTGCAATAATCTGGTGGAGAAATGATGGTGGCTTGAGCGAGAGCAGGGGCTGGAGAGAAGTGGACAGCTTCCAGAACTATTGTGGAGACATGATGGATGCTATGGGATCATTGATTAGCTCTGCCAGGGATTCTAAAATGCACAGTTGACAAGGCAGGGATTTCAAACACAGACTGCTCTCTTCCCTATCCGTGCACTGAGCATGCTTATCAAGGTGTTAAGAACTTAGGGCAGTAACATGTGAAGTAACGTGTGCCTAACAGAACAGGTTCTGGAGCGAGACCGCATGGTCTGAATCCTAGCACTGCTGCTTACTAGTGATGTGTCCTTGGGTATGTTATCTAACCTCTCTGTTCCTCAGATAGTTCCACTATCTGTAAACAAGGAAGGTTAGTACCACATCACCTCTGTGGGGAGAATTACATAAATGAACGCATGTAATCTGCTTAGAGTCATCTCTGCCACTTGGTCAATGTTATCTATCTACCATCCCTCTATATTATAATTAGTAATGTAACACGCTCGATTAAGAGAAAAGCTTCTTGTCCAAACGGCTTCTTTTTTTTAAGTTTTCCAACTCTCACAGTTCTTTTGCTTTGCAGAAAAAGCATAACAATTGATGTGTTTGCTAAGGTTTAGATTTAGAAACTGTGTTTTTCTGGTGGAAAGGAGGAAGTTGCTTCTGGAGGTTGATGATGTTAGACTGGTAAAAATTCTCAAATGCCCTTTCCTTCTGCTGGGAATTGGTAGCCATTATAACCAATGGCTCTCTGAAACTGTCATTTCTAGGAACTGTCTATCCAGATGTGTGGTGTGGTTGTGAGGATGGGATGATGAGTCACCAAAGTGTAGCCCAGAACATAGCAGAAGCTCAGCAAACAGCGTTCTGGCTGCTGACTGCCACAGGAGGTGGCGCCCTGGACCACTGGACCGTAACCTCAGTGCCAGCAGTGGCTAAGGCCCGGGGTAGAGGCCACTTATTTGTATTGAGTAGAAGTGACTTATGAACCTTTCCTCTCCAAAACGCAGTAGTTCAACCAATTGATAAGACTAAACATTATAAACAAACAAAATAGTACAATAATTCAAACCCACAGTAAATATTTCCAATGCACAATATTAATGCAAGAAACAGCAAATATCCAAAGACACAAGCCAATTACAATGGAACAGGAGCATCTTCCACATAGTAGGTACTTAATAAACATTTGCTGTTTGATTACATTGTAACGATTCTTAAAAACACATTCCCAGAACTTGCTCTGGGCAAACTATAAAATAGAATATGAATTTACCCGAGGCAGACCATGAGAGACTCTTGAATACTGAGAATAAACTGAGGGCTGATGGGGGTGGGAGAGAGGGGAAGGGGAGTGATGGGCATGGAGGAGGGCACTTGTGGGGATGAGCACTGGGTGGTATATGGAAACCAACCTGACAATAAACTATAAAAAAAACAAAAAACAAAAAAAAAACAAAAACAAATATGAATTTACCAAGGAAAGAATATTTAGAAGGCTAATTAGAGGGGCGCCTGGGTGGCTTAGTCGGTTAAGCGTCCGACTTTCGCTTGGGTCATGATCTCGCGGTTCGTGGGTTCGAGCCCCGCGTCAGGCTCTGTGCTGACTGCCAGCTCAGAGCCTGGAGCCTGTTTCAGTCTGTGACTCCCTCTCTCTCTGACCCTCCCCTGCTCACGCTGTCTCTCTCTCTCTCCTAGAAATAAATAAACATTAAAAAAAAAAATTTAGAAGACTAATTAGATTTGCTTTATACATTTATTCTTCATTTTCCAAAGGGATCTTAAAAAAAGCTTTGTATTGTAAAATAAAGCACAGATATAGTCACAGGAAGTAAACGTGGTTTATAGTTATATTATTATTATTATTATTTTATAAGAGGGACTCCTTTGTAAGCACCCCAGATCAAGAAATAGAACTTTGTCAACCACCCCAGATGCCCCTTCATGTGCCTCAAACCCATCTCTTCCTTTTCTCTGAAAGTGAACATCTACTGACTTCCATAGTGATCACTTCTGTGTGTATGTATTTTTAATTGTTTATTGCCCACTCCTAAATGAGGAACCCTATAGTGGAGGCTTAGGGAAAAAAGGCTTTTGTTTCTTTTAGTTTACAGATTTCCCCTCCTTCTTTTTCTCTTCCTTACAATTTGTCTGTTGAAAAACCCCAGGGCACTGAATCTGTCCTGATTCTGTTGAGTGTGTAATAGAGTACAGCTCAATATGTTCTTTGGTCTCCTTTGTTTTTGTTAATTGGCAGCTAGATGCAGAAGCTTAATCAGACTGGGTTCTGTCCCCCTGGCATGACCAAAGGGGGTGGGTGGTGTGATTTTTCCTCAGAAAGCTCACGAAGTTTGCTTGTCTTTCCTTTTGTGATGTTAGCAGCTATTCTTTCCTTAGAGATCGCAAAAACGGTTACGTTCTAATTCTATAATTTCTTCTTCGCTTATTACTTGGAATATTTTACAGTGAGATGATTTCTATCATTGACTCTTGGGGTATCCAGGTTATATAGAAAAGATAAGATACATGCCTGATTCTTTTCCTCTACTGAACAGTTCTCAAGTTAATTGGCTCTCAATTTTCTTCCAAAAATAACCAACTAGATTTTAAAAAGTTATTATGAATCAATGTATTTAAATATATTTGATGGATTCCATTTGCAACTATTATCTTTTTTGAATTTCAAATTGTCTCATCTTTAGCTGGTGGGAGCTTTATCTTTAGGCTGACTTCTGAGAGCCTTTGACGTGACCTTTAGTTTTGATAGCTTTTTTTTTATTACCTGACATGAAAGAGATGTTCCAGGCTCATCTCATGCGTGAAGCCAGCCATTTCTCCAAAATGCCTCATTTCTTTTAAGTGGAAAGTACTTCAAGATTATGATCTAAGAATCTGGATTGCTAGGAATGCTCATTGCTACTGGATCACTCCTTGTTTGCAATCCTCCCTGCCCCACCCCCACGATATCTCTTAAAAAAATGCCCCATGAGTTCATATTCATACTTCCCATTCAACGATCCTACTTCTCTTAGTTCTCAAGGACACAGGGGATGGTTCAATTAGAATATCTAGTATTTCATGATTACTGATTTACTGGTCCAAAATTACATATATGAGTCTCAAAATAATGAAATTGATTCTACCACCACTAATGTAATTACTGAGAGAAGTTAAAAAAATTTGCTTATGCCCTTTCTCTTCTCCTTCTATTCTGAAAGCCATAACCTATCTGCATTGCCTGAGCATATAGTCATTAAATGACTCCTTTTAACCCCTACTTAATCTTGGTACCACAAGTAACAACATTTTTAATGTTTTCCATCATTCCAAGCTTGATGTTTCTCTGGGCATTTTGATGCTTTCTACTGAATCCCTTGGAAGAGCTTATGGGAACAGTGTTCCTTGGGTTCTTTCAGGTCACAATGATTTGTCAGTGGTCTTGATACTTGAAAATCAGCTGTGCGGGATATAAAATCACTGGCTCACATTTTGTCCCCTTGAGTATCTTAAACATGTTACTCTGTTTTCTTATAGCATAAAGCATTGTTGTTGACTAGCTGGTAGTTATATCATTGTTTTCCCCTTAGATGTCATTTGTTGTTTTTTTCCTGAATACCCTGACTTTTTTCTTTTTTCTTAAAGTTCAGTAATTTCACTAGAATATATCACAGTGTTGGTCATTTTAAGTCAATAATCTTAGGTACGTAATGTGCTCTTTCAATATGTAGTTTCAAATCTATTTCAGGAAAGTTTTATTGAATTATAGTTTTCTGTATTAGTTCTGTTCTCTTTCTTTGTGTGTTTTTTTGTTTGTTTGTTTGTTTGTTTTTTCTTTCAGGGACTTCCACTATTTCTATGTTGGATATTCTTTGGATATCTTCAATATTGTTACTTGGTCATAGATCTTTTTAATCTTTTTCTTCGTTTCTTCTTGATTTTAGAAGATTTATTCTTTGCTTTCTATTTCTTTTAAGACACTCTGTGCTGCGTTTATTGCTCCTGTGTTCCCTCTAGTTTCATACTCAATTTTTCAGAAGCCTTTCTTTTATATCTAGTATTTCTGGATGGCTACCACCTCATTGCTGAGTCTTTTTCTTTCTAATTCTGATTTATGCGATTCTTCTTATCTTGCATGATTTTCTTAATGTCTTTTAGATTTTATTATAGTTTGATCTGTTGTCACCTGGCATGCCACCCTTTCGGAAACAGTGCTATTTTTGCCCCTTATTCTCTTTAATTCTTATTGTCACTTTGTGTGGGATTTGACCTCCACATCATTCTTTTTCTCATTTTTATGTGAAACTAATTTTTCCTAAACTGTTTTTTCATGTGTATTTATTTATTTATTTTTGAGATTGAGAGAGAGAGAGAGAGAGAGAGAGAACAGGGGATGGGCAGAAAGAGAGGGAGACAGAATCCCAAGCAGGGACTTGAACTCATGAACTGTGAGAG